ACAGGAAATTGACAGTAGAGGAAAATTCCCGGATACAGGAAGAAGAGAAACTTTCTAAAGTGCAAAAAAAGATCAGCCACACCACTGAAGGGCTGGAGGCCTATGGAAAGCTAGCCAAAGATCTTGAAGAAGAATTGAAGAGAACTATTAATTTTTATCAAAGGCAGGTTATTTCCTACGAGAAAAAAGGACATGATAATTGGTTGGCAGCTCATACTGCTGAAAGAAACCTCAATGATTTAAGGAAAGAAAATGCTCACAACAGAAAAAAATTAACTGAAGCAGAGTTTAAATTTGAACTTTTACAAAAAGATCATTGTGCACCTGATGTTTCAAATACAGCATTTGGCAGAGAGCATTCCCCATGTGGTCCCTCACCAGTGGGTCAGCCTTCATCTGAAACGAGAGCTTTTCTCTCTCCTCAAACTGTGTTGGAGGGTCCACTGAGACCCTCACCTGTGCTTCCGGCGGGAGGAGGAAGAGACCCAAGAGGCCCAGGGAATCCTCTGGACCATCAGATTACCAACAAAAGAGGAGAACCAGCCTGCGACACGTTAACCGATCCTCACAGGGCTCCTCCTGACACTGGGTCCCTGTCATCTCCGTGGGAACAGGACCGTAGGATGACATTTCCTCCACCAGGACAATCAAATCCTGATTCAGCGCTTCCTCTACAAAGGGAAGACAGATTTTATTCTAATTCTGATGGACTGTCTGGGCCAGCAGAACTCAGAAGTTTTAATGTGCCTTCTTTGGATAAAATGGATGGGTCAATGCCTTCAGAAATGGAATCCAGTAGAAATGATGCCAAAGATCATCCTGGTAATTTAAATGTGCCTGATTCATCTCTCCCTGCTAAAAATGAAGCAACTGGTACCGGCTTTGTTCCTCCACCTCTAGCTCCAATCAGAGGTCCACTGTTTCCAGTGAATACAAGAGGCCCATTCATGAGAAGAGGACCTCCTTTCCCCCCACCTCCTCCAGGAACCGTGTTTGGAGTGTCTCGAGGTTACTGTCCACCAAGGGATTTCCCAGGTCCACCACGTGCTCCATTTGCAGTGAGAAACATCTATCCACCGAGGGGTTTTCCTCCTTACCTTCAGCCAAGACCTGGATTTTACCCCAACCCCACATTCTGAAGGTAGAAGCGAGTTCCCTTCAGGGTTGATTCTGCCTTCCAAGGAGCCTGCTACTGAACAACCAGAACCACAGCAAGAAACCTGACAATATTTTTGCTCTCTTCAAAAGTAATTTAGACTGATCTCATTTTCAGTTTAAGTAACGGCTGTTACTTAAGTGATTACACTTTTCTCAAATTGAAGTTTAAGGAATTATAGTTCTTAGTATAGCAGTTTGTAAATAAAGATGATTTAAATACAGATCTATGAGTAAATCATTTCCATTTTATTATTTCTAGATCGTATAAATTTTAATCTCGGGAACTAATCCACTACTATAGAAACAACAGTGGGAGTTTTATATGTGTAATCTCGCAGGTGGGGAGGCTTTAAATTCTAAAGGCTGTGTCTTCATGCCAAGAAGTGTATTCACTGTGGTTGTAGATAAATGTGAACGTAACTTTATGCTTAATTTAATACATTTTAGTTGATTTTTTTAAAAAAAGAAAACTGCCAGAACTGAAAGGAGATACAGACGAATCCACAATTATAGTTAGAAACTTCCTCATGCCTTTTTCAATATTTGATAGAACTAGACAGAAAATCAGCAAGGAGTGTTGGCTTTGGCAGCACTTTCTAAAATTAGAATGATGCCGACAAGATTAACACGGCTCCTGCATATAGATTACACAAAATTTTGCGAGGCATTTCATATTTGTAAAAAGAGGGGAAAAAATCAGCAAGAATATAAAACAACTCAAAATGCCATTAAACAAAAGAATCTATTTGGCATTTACAGAACATGCCACACAACAGCAGAATACACGTATTTTTGCGAGTGCTGACAAAACACATGGCAAGATAGAGCTATCCGAGGCCCTAAAATTCACCACAGCAAATTTAAGAGATAGTAATCATCCAGAGCAGGTGAAAACCAGAAATCATTGTAGGGAATCCAATTGGAAATCAGCATAAGAGAGATATGAAAATTCCCAAACACTTGGAAATTTAAAAACACACTTCTAAATAAGCTATCGGTCAAAGAAGAAGTCTCAAGGAAAATTTTAAAAATACATTGGACTGGATAAACATGAAACTGTGACATATCAAAGTGCTGAGAAGCAAACTTATAGCAATAAATGCATGCATTAGGAAAGAGGAAAAGTCTCGAGTGAGCAATAGATTTCCACCTCAGGAACCTAGAAAAAGAAGAGCAGAATAAACTAAAAGGAAGTAGAGGGTGGGGATTAATAAAGATAAGAACAGAAACCACTTACATTTAAAAGAGAAAAACAATAGTTAAATCAATGAAACAAAGAGATAGCTACGTTCTCTTAACTTAAATAAACTTAAATAAAATTTAAAACTTAAATAAAATTTAGCAAACTCAAGTAGAAATTAAAAGGAAAAGACACAAATTTTAAATATCATAATGAAACAGGCGATATCATTACAGACACCACACATCACAAAGGACAATCAAGGAATATTACAAACCACTCCACACACATAAATTAGACAACTTAGACAAAAGAGACAAAATGCAGTGTTCCTGCTGCAACACAAACTAACTCAACTCACCACGCAGGAATAGACCATTTGAAGAACTCTATAACCATTAAGAAAATAGAATTTATAATTTTAAAACTACCAAAAAAGAAATCTCTATGTTTAGATGGTTTCATTGGAGAATTCTGACGTGTTTTTAAAAAAGTTAACACCAATTCTGCACTATCTTTTCCAGAAAACAGTAAAAGAACATTTCCCAATTTAAATTTTGAAGCTATTATTACACTGATACCAAAACCAGGAGAGAGAGTGTGTGTATATATACATACACACATAGATACATATATATATATAAAAAAGATGTGTTCATTTTACTTAACAAATAGACTTCTACACTATATTTTTCAAAATTGACCCACGTCCAGTGGGGGATTGTTTCCAGAAAAACAAGCCTGATTAAATCTCACAAAGTCAATCAAAATAATCCACCATGTTAACAAACAAAAGAAGGAAAGTTACATTATATCAGCTGATACATAATAAACATTTAACACATTTCAATATCCATTCATGATAAAAACACTCTATAAAGCGAGAATAGAGGAAACTTTATCCACTTGATAAAAAGCATCTACAAAAACCTAACATTATAGAGTCATGTGTTGTTTAACGATGCGGATACATTCTGAAAAATGTGCGGTCAAGTGATTTTGTCATTGTGGGAACGTCCTAGAGTGTTCTTACACAGACCTAGATGGGGTATATAGTAGCCACTATACACCTAGGCTATATGGAATAGCCCATCACTCCTAGGTGACAAACCTATACAGCATATTACTGTACTGAATATTATAGGCTATTATAATACAGTTAAGTATTACATTTATGGTAACAATTTGGTAAAACTCACCAACTATGGTATTTATGTATCTAAGCATATCTAAATACATAAAATGCAGAGTAAAAAAATATAACAACATGAAAGATTTTTTAAATGGTACATCTGGATACGGCATTTACCATAAATGGAGCTTACAGGACTGGAAGTTGCCTGGGTGAGTGAGTGAGTGAGTGGTGAGTGAATATGAAGCCCTAGGACATTACCGTATGATACTGTAGACTTTATAAACACTGTACACTTAGGCTACACTGAATTCATTAAGACATTTTTCTTTCTTCAACAATAAATTAACCTTAGCTTACTATAACTTTTACTTTATAAACTTTTTAATTTTTAATCATAATTTAATTCTACTTTGTAATAACACCACTTAAAACACAAATATTAGGAAGCTGCACAAAAGGTTTTCTTTTTTTGTATCTTTATTCTACAAACATTTTTCTACTTGTGAAACTGTTTATTTTAATTATTTACTTTTTAAAAATTTGTTATTGAAAACTAAGACACAAATACACACATCAGTCTAAGTCTACCTAGTATCTAGATCATCTGTATCAGTCTTCCACCTGCACATCTTGTCCCACTGAAAGGTCTTCACAGGTAAGAGCAAGCATGAAGATGTCGTCTTCTCTGATAGTAATGCCTTCTTCTAGAATACCTCTTGATGCACTTGCCTGAGACTGTTTAGGACTTAACTTCTTTTTTTTTTTTTTTTTTTGAGACGGAGTCTCGCTCTGTCGCCCAGGCTGGAGTGTAGTGGCCAGATCCCAGCTCACTGCAAGCTCCGCCTCCCGGGTTTACGCCATTCTCCTGCCTCAGCCTCCCCAGTAGCTGGGACTACAGGCGCCCGCCAAATCGCATGGCTAGTTTTTTGTATTTTCTAGTACAGACGGGGTTTCACCAGGTTACCCAGGATGGTCTTGATCTCCTGACCTCGTGATCCGCCCGTCTCGGCCTCCCAAAGTGCTGGGGTTACAGGCTTGAGCCACCGTGCCCGGCCAGAACTTAACATTTTTATAAGCAAAAGGAGTACACTCTAAAATAATGACAAAGGTCAGGCACAGTGTCTCACACCTGTAATCTCAGTACTTTGGGAGGCTGAGGTAGGCACATCATTTGCAGTCAGGAGTTCAAGAAAAGCCTGACCAAACTGGTGAAACCCCATCTCTAACAAAAATATAAAAAATTGGCCAAGCATGGTGCTGCACACCTGTAATCTCAGCTACTTGTGAGGCTGAGACACAAGAATCACTTGAACCCAGGAGGCAGAGGTTGCAGTGAGCTGAGATTGCACCACTGCACTCCAGTCTGGGCAACACAGCAAGACTCCATCTCCAAAATAAAATAAAATAAAATAAAATAATGACAAAAAGTTTAGTAGAATGTTGTAAATGCATAGTAAAACGCATAGTTGTTTGCTTTTGTATCACACTGGGAGTGCAGTAGGATTGTTTACAGCAGCAATCCCACAAACATGTAAGTAATGCATTGTGCTACAACATTAACATGGCTAAGACATCACTTGGCAATATGAGTTTTACACCCCCATTATAATCTTGTGGGACCCTGTCATATATGCAGTCCATCACTGACCAAAGTGTTATGGAGGACATAGCTATACTAACATCATATTTAGTGGTGAAAAACTGAATGGTTTCTCTCTAAAATCAAGAATAAAGGAACTATATCTGCTTTTATCACCCTTATGCAAAACAGTGCTGGAAGTTACACACTGTGCAATAAGACAAGAAAATAAAGGACATACAGGTCAGGATGGAAAAAACAGAACAGTTCCTACTTACAACAGATATGACTGTCTACATAGAAATCCAAACAAATCTATTTTAGAAACCTCCTAAAATTAAGAAGTGAGTCCATTAAGGTCACAGAATTTAACATAAACACAATCAAATTAATTCTATTTCTATATACAGACATAACTCATTTTATTGTTCTGCAATTTATTGTGCTTCATAGATACTGCATTTCCATTGGGCTAAAATTTTGTGGCTAACCTGCCTCAAGCAAGTCTATCTGCACCATTTTTCCAACAGCATGTTCTCATTTTGTGTCCTAGGTCAAATTTTAATGATTTGTACAGTATTTAAAATTGGTTTGTTATTATTATGTCTGTTATGGTGATCTGTGATCAGTGATCTTTGATGTTACTATTGTAATTGTTTTAGGGCAGCATGAGCACGTCCACATAAGACAGCAAACTTAATTGATAAATGTTATGTGTGTTCTGATTGCTCCACCGACAGGTCATTTCCCTCTCTCTCTTCCTCTTCTGGCCTCCCTAGTCCCTGACACACAACAAAATTGAAATTAAGCCAATTAAACACTGTACAGTGTCCTCTAAACATTCAAGCGAAAGTCATTAAATGAAACCTAGAAATTATTAAGCTTAGTGAAAAAGGCATGTCAAGTAAGTATAAATCCAGAGTTGTCCAGCTTGAGCTGAAGTGCTATTGGACCTACCAAATCGTAAGACTGAATGGTCACAGCAACCATCTATCCTATAATGGATGCAATATGTTTTAGAGCAAGAGAAAATGCAAAAGACAAAAGTAGGCTGAATGAACATTTGGCACAGATCCCTGTATCACTGATGCCTCTCTCTCAGCTTACATATACAGTCTCCTAGGTCCTTCCAACCAGCTGATAACTTTGTAAACAAGCCAGGCTTAATACAAGGACACTTAGGCTAGCTATATTGGCACAGTTTGTCAACCACTCAGATGCGGGACCTCAAATGTAATCCATGAGGGTAAACCTACTCTGATAAGTGGAATACATAGATTCATCCCCATCCATAGAAAGGGTTCAGAAAACAGGAGCTG